ATAGTCCACTGTAAGCGCAAGAACGCCCCCAAAGAATGTTAACCTAATTATACAGAGCCTCATTATGACCAACTTGTTGATGAATTGTTTAGATAACCCAATTACTTTTCAGTTTTGAAATGTAGTTTTGCAAATTCCTTTCATTTTGTTTCAGGAGCCAAATTTCATATTAAACATCAAGTTAACAATTGCAAACCAACACAGTGCCAACATTGTATTTATTTGTACCTTGCAATATGTTTTGTACATGGTCACATGGCCTTTGACAGCAGCAACAATACATAAAGTAACTGTTTGTGCTCATTTAAAAAGTTGATAAGCCTAATTGTTTTGCATGGTTAAGTGGTTATTTGCATTGAGCATTGTTTTCCCCCACTGTCCATGACCAGAACAGACCTGCCACCATTTTGGGTCATGACCCACCAGTTGCAGACCACTGCTCTACCAAATGTTTTCCCATTCACTTTGGCCTAGTTTTATGGACGGGATAATTGCGTGTAGGCTTTGTTGCACCGGAGGCTCTCAACTTGTCCAAATGCCTGCAAGTTAATAGAGGTTAAGCTGTAGCCTTGCTCTCTGCGTTTCATATTTGTGGACAGTTCGACCTCTTAGCTAGCTCTCACAGCTTGGAGCACAACTGCTTGGCTGCGAGTTATCTCGCCCGATAGAGCGACGAGAAGTGTTGTTAATTACCAGATTTCCTTCTCCGCCATTGAAGTCTCTGTAGCTCACATTCTTGTGTGTTTTTTTTTTTGTTATGCTAATCTGAAACATTTTCCTGCAGCTGTGTAATTATGCATTTAATGCGTTTCAGGATTAAAGTGAACGAGAAATGCCCTAGATTTAGTTGCGCTAATCTTCAGCCTTTTAAATGGTGCCATACATCAGCTATCACTTGAAAAGAGTGTGGTTTCCACTTTGAGGATTTGCTGTCTAATTTCTGCCGCGTGCATACTACGGCCCATCCGCTTTCTGTATTGCTTTGTTTTTTGTTATATTCAACGAGGTGTTTTCCATTGACCCGGACATGACGGTTTCCAGCGAGAAGAAAAGGCGCCTGTGATCTTCAGCCAGCGCTCTCAAGAATGTTCCGGACTAAGAAATGTGCTTGAGTTGTAGGTTCTACATATTTAGCATGTCTGGAGGCCTTTGTTCAGAGGCAGTAAATGGTTTGAGGAAGTGCTTGGGAGTCACTCAGGAAGTTATCAGGCCATTGAAAGTGGACACTTAATTACCCAGGCAGACGTAGGCCGGAGTTGTGCTGCTGTTTTTTCATTAAGCTCAGGAATGCCAGATGCACGAGTGCTGAGTTGGCTGCCAAAGCAGCTGATAACATGCAAAAGCCTGGACGTGTGCCAGTAAGAAAACAATTAGCATGCCTCGGAGACCGAGTCGGTTAGCATCTGCTCTCAGTGAGAAGCATCCCATGCTAGGTGCAAGGTTTGTGATGGAAACTACCTCTGGACCTCAAGAAGTCCTTGTGAAGTACTCCGTTCAGCCTTCAGCGATTCAGGCGGTTTTGGCTGCACAACTTGCTCTAATGTGGTATTTTCTGTGGATCCACATCCACCATTGTGGTTTTATCTGTCTGTAGTCATTGTTTACTGTGACATTTGGAGGGATAGTGCCCTCTTTGAAGACATTTCTTGGAATAAACCAAATGTGTAATTAGGCCTGAGTTTGGGTTTTGTTTAGCGTTTGTTTTTCTGGTTAGGATTGGGTTTTGGATTTTTGTGCCTTTTTGAACCTGATTTTTTTTCTATAAGCATGCTGTCACATCAACATTTTCTTTTGCTTCCAGAACATGTTTCTAGGGTCATTTTTTTTCTGTGACAATCGCTGCGTCCGAAATTGAATACTTCCCTACAATATGTTATGCAAAAAACAGTACGCCAATAGTAATGTCCGTATGCATATATTACACTATTGGGAGTGATACGATTGGAGTCATATTTAAAACCACACTTATCTCACTGGCCTTCCTTAAGATAGTCAACTATTAATTTAACCAACCCACCTACTAGTCAACTAGTTTTTTTTTTTTTTTGCACATCTCTAGTATCCACATACTATTGGCATTGGCCATTTCTTGTGTATTGTGGACAAGACCGTGTTTTCCAGTCTTGCCGGATGGAAAGGTGTGTGTGTGTGTGTGTTTTCAAGTGATGTTGTGTGCTATGGTGTATTAATGTGGGTTGGTTTCCTGATTGTTGTATTAGTGCTGGTGAACTTGAAACACAATGCTTGAATAGGACTCTGGGAATCCAGACACGCTGTCTGATCAGGACTCTTCCTCTGTTTCTTAGACTCATTGAAGTACTGATTACCCACATACATGCCCCTTCACATTGTCCTCTGTGCCCTGGAAAATATTAATTTCAATTGTGCTACCTTTATAAAAAGTATCTAATTTCATTCAGGCTATATTACAGTCCATAACAGAAAATGAGGTGTGGGTCAGAAAATGGAATGTTTATTAAATTCAATTCACAGCGAAATTGGTATTTTCATATTTGACCAGAAAGTGCAAGAATGCGGCGCGGAGGTGGAAGATCTTTCTCGGAGATGGACAATGTCTTATTGCATCATTATCACCATCACGATCATCATTACTGTTTATGAGTCTGGTAATGATGTTAGGCTTGGTAATGGACCCTGCACCAACGAAAGCAATCATAGAAATACAGCAGGAACCCCACTGCTCATCGTCATCAGGGTAAAAATGGCAAAATGTTCCAGAGATTTCCATCGTTTCATTACAGTGCAGCCTCGCTATCTCTCACTACACACATATCCTCATTCAATGTTCTCATAGCTGGGAATAGGCCTTAATGTTGCATGTAATACAGCATTATTCCCATAGACTGGCACACTGTCGCCCTTTGTTGAATGCCAGAATCTGCCAGGCTCACGGCCTTCATCTCACCCTCATTCACCCTGCCTCGCTGCTTGCATTGAAAAGCTCTGGGCTCATTTAGATGAAATCATGATTAAACAGGTGCGTTCACTGTCAAATGTCATTTTGCTCATGGGTTGTGTGAGATGAGATCATATGGGATCCAGTGTCATGGGTTTTATTGTTTGAGTGAAATACAAGCTTTTTGTGATGCATTGGGGGTCTTTAGTATTCTAATATGACACTTTTGGCATAGAAGAGACAGCATATTAAGGAAATAGTATGTATGGTGATGATAAAATCTGGACTTTTTAGTAAACCTCTAAATGCCTAAAGAGACATCATTGTAAAGATGGAGATGGTAATATATTGTTTTGTCATGAAAAATGACTTGATTGCCATTTCTGTGTTTTTCTTTTGTCTTTTTTTAGTAAAATATCTAAACATTCTGAGCAGCAAAACTGCATAAATTATAAACACAGAAATCTGTCTGGAATATAATTGCATTTTTTCTTGTTGCATTGCCATTTTGGTTTATGCTTAAAGCATGAGCAAAAATGCCCATTGTAACAAAAAACTTTTTTTTGGGGATAAATCTCATGAGCGTGTCTTGTTTAAAATATACTTGTATATTTTACTAATGACTAAACTACTAACTAATGACACAGGAGTGATATAAAAAATAAAACTTTTCAAAAAGAGATTGTTTCGTGATAACACTCTTCTTTGTGCTGCATTTATTTAAGTGACGGTTCACTTTCTCGAACTTATTCAAATGTTCTTGAGACTGTGAACTTGTTAATTAGACTGCTGTTTCACAGCACCAATACTGCAGCATACGTTTATTTAGATAATGATTATGACAGTTGTGTTAAAGCATAATGTTTCCAAGAAATATGGTCAACATTAGCTCACTTGTAAGTTCGAGAATTCGAAGAGAGTTGAAACAAAAGTACACTAACCTTTCACCTGATCAGTTCAAATGGTTCACAAAATATATTTGCATTCTCATTATTGAGAGCCTTTGCCCCTGAGTGCAAAAGGAGTCAATTTAGCATATTATAAATACCTGCAATTAGTGCATCCGCCATTTGGATTTGAGCCATCATATATCATGCAGGTAATGGCCAATCATTAGTTTTCTTTATCTACAATATGTTAAAGATATTATATATTTATTCAAGTCATGTTTGTGCTCATGTATGTCAGTATGTACTGAGAGAAGGTCAAATCTGGTGACTGTTTTTCTGTAGTGCTGAGTGACTTGGCTTTTAAATGAACATTGTGTAAATGTATGACTAATACACATGATCTCAGTTTGTCTATTGAGAGCTGACAGCTCTGCCGTCCTGCAACAGCCAAGTTAAACAGGGTAGGCCCATATCAAAGTCATGTTTCACATATCAATGAAGTTTTACAGGTATCCAAGCCAAGGCAAACACAGTTTATGCACAACATACCTCCCACTCCAGTTCCTTTACTTTTCTACATGGCATTGCCTGAAATTAATCAACTCTAAGTTGTTTTGTGTTAAGTGAGCCTGCAGCATAAATGCAGCCAAAAAGTTAGATGTAATGACATAAGATCAGGTGCAAGAAGGAATTAAGCCATTTGTTGTGCAGATGTCTTGTTTATTCTTCACTTCTTGGCATAAGCTTAAGCTGACATTTGGAGCTCAGATTTGAGTAACATCACATTAGTCTCTGGGACCTGGTAGAAAAGGTTTTGAAATCACAAGGGTTTGATGATATGTTAATGTGTTCTGCTTTGTGTTTTGTCAGCATTAATCAGAAAAGTCCATTGGACTCATGATAGAGCCTTGTGGCACTCCCCTTGTAGAGGAGTTGTGTGGGAAGACTAGCACTATAACAATGAAAGACGACCCATGCTGCTTGTTCACCAGAGTCTCCTGATTACACACTGCTCTGATGTGAGCACAGACACACAGAGTATTGTTTGCCCTGATGGGCAGACTCAAGCCATTGCATTTATAGAGCATAGTTACAGTTTAGAGATCACGGTGGGAAACCTGATTAACTGATAAGTCTGAGGTCAATACACATGTTGTATTGCTGATAATTCACACTGATGCTTTGTTTTATAGGAGGGAGATTTCCTGGTACGAACCCACCATGTTGAATACTGTGATGGGGGTATTCTTGACCCTGATGATGTGCTATCAGACCTAGTGGAGGACAAGGACAAGGTAAGGAAACAGTCGGGTATAAATATTGGAATCCACAAGGTTCATGTTATGTCATATGTGGAGACATACTCAGAGAAGAATCACTTTATAAATGGATCTACAGTAGTAACAATAATCCTTCCCTCTACTGATTTCCATACCTGATCTCTATGAAGAATAATGGCAAGAAAAATGTTAAAGCATAGTCTGATTGTCAAAAAGTGGCCTTATTGTTCTAATATGGTTACTTAGTGCTTTTAGCTTGGAATGCACTTTACATCATCAGCCGCTTAAAGTATACATTAAGGTCCTAAACCCAATTCAATGTTTACTATATAATTTAGGGAGTTCTTCCTCCACCCACCTAAATTACAAAATTATAGCTGTTCTTATCCTCAAACAAAAATACTGTTTTGTAACATTTTTATTGTTGTTTAAATTAGTTTGGTAAGTGAATGGGATTTTAATTCAGTATCCACTTGTGAACTCAAGGAATAATTTGCAAGAATGATATAGATGAAACTGGTTAATAAGAGTTATTCTTGTGAATAGAATTGCAGTGTTCACAATGTATGTTTATTTTTTATATTTTAGCCAGTGAAGACACTTTAGAAGATGTGTTGTGTTTTATTTCATGTTATCCAGCTCATAAATTCTTTAAGAAATCTGATAAATGGAAGGTTTTCTTTGGCTTTGTTCTTGTGTTCAAGTAGTTGTTTGGTCCAGTGGTATAATAAAACTATGAAGCATTAGCAAGATGCATTTTGCTTTTCATAGTCCAACCCATTCAATGTAATTAATTCCAGAGAAACAAAACAACAGAGGAAAGAACACCAGAACACATTTACTCTCGCAAATGTGAGAAGATTTGTCGAGAAGTTGTGAGAAAACGTGTGAATTTATGGAAAACAAAATCACATGAATATGAAAAATCACAGGTTAGGTTGTAATGTCATATGTGCCAAAAATATATGCTGTGAAAAAAGTAGAAAATATTAAATATACCATTACTGTAAAGTACTTTTTTAAATGGAAGTTTTGATAAATTGTAACCATAATGTATTTATATCTTTTTATGGACATGATGCTCATTCACTGTTTATAATGGAAACCGAGCATAAGGTTCACCGTTTCATATGGAAAGCGCATCGTTGACATTTGCTTGAGAGGAGGCCATTTGGACCACCCTCTCTCAGGAAAGAGTGGTCTCTTCAATGAGCCCTTGGGTATTCTGTTTGTCCTTTCTCTATATGGAGGTTATTATATTGAGCTGTGTGGCCGCTCCTAACTCGATAACACAAAAGGGCATTTGCCTCCTAATTGAATTCTCTCAGACATCAGATGCAAAGCTTTTGATTTCTGCACACTAATTAATAGAAGTGAAGGCACAAGGCATTATATGTGGCATGCTCTCTCTCTCTCTCTCTCTCTCTCTCTCTCTCTGAGCAAGATGATTTCTGGGATACCGCTTTATAATCAAAGTGTGGAAGTGTTTTATAGGCTTTAGCCACAGGGAATGCAGCCCATTTCTGAGGAATAATTTGCATATGAAAGATAAAAATTTGTCATGATTTAAAGATTATGAGTGGGACTATTAACTTAAGGATAGTGCCTAATGTTTCAGCATTCAGACCCTCTATAATTGGCCCTAACTATGCCTATAAAAACAATACTATTTTGGTACCATGTTTAGGATAAAAAAGTAATACTTTTTTAGTATTAAATTAATAAATTAATGCATTTAATTATGCCTCCTTAACTATATGCTACAGGAAACTTGCTTCTTTAAACCACGCTTACAGAGAGCAGGCAGCACAGAATAATGAACTGTTCACATATTAAGGTTATGATAATAAGGACACAAGACGAGATTTTTTGATGGCCGGTCAAAAATGGCTGGTGCAGACAAAGCAACACTCATTTTACATACACCACAGTAAAGATGATATGAATATGGCATAGTGGCCAACTAAATATTGCCAAAGTTTCTTTAAGACAAGTAATTTCACTTGGCGGCCATCTTTGAAACGCCTCTCAGGCAGCTATTTCAGTCATGCAAGTGCAGTTCTTTGAATCAAATCCTCCAAAGCTGCTCACCAAACTTACGAATACATTTCATTATAGAAATCACCAATGAAATCTGACAACAACTCTCACAAATGTTTTTTTCTTTTTCTTTTTTTTTTGCTGAATTTTGTTCATAGTTTACTGAATGTTGTGAAGTTTTCCTTTCTATTACTAATGATATAAGAGCAAATGATATCATGTAGTTTGCCTTTCTATTACTTATAATATAAAAGCAAGTACTATAATACTTTTTCGTATATGGTTTACTTTCTTTCGTCACATTGGCCACACAGAAAAACTTAACGGCTGATATATTGGCCTTGGTGATATATCGGTTGACCTCTTGACAGAATTGTAAAAAGCTATCTAATAACATATAAGACTGAACTGTTAAACAGAAACCGAAAACTAATGAAGACAGAGACGGGGAGCTTTGTGTATTCAGGTGCTGGCATTCTTAGTGCTGTCAAAATTAAAGTCCCATTTCCCACACATTTACGAAACAGAAAATCTTTACGGCTGATGTAGATATTTGAAAAATGCCATATATAGGCACATATTTTGGCCTTGGTGATATATCGGTTGACCACTAGACACAATTGTCAAAGGCCTAATCGGACCAGTGGTGCATTGTTATGAAAGTAGATAGAATATGCACAGTATTTAAGTCTTGCCAACTTAAACATTAAAGCAATTTTAAAGCATGAAAGGGAACTTTTGTATTCATATGATTTTGGTTTTCTGAGTGCAGCTTGCACATACCCATTCAATCCTCTCATTCACTCCGGTTAAATAGTGTTGGTGTGACTATGCATAATTCTAATCATTCAAAGATTATTTTTTTTTATTCAGTTTCTTACCTTAATACTACGGTTAGAGCTACTTGAAAAAAATAAAGCAGTCTATTTCATTTTAATCTTTATTTTATTGTATTTATTTGTGCTATTGTGTTAGTAATTTGTTAATTTGTTCTTTATTACTGTTTATTAGTTTATTACTGTTTGCATGTCTTTTTAAAATTCAACTTACCATTTGAAATCAAGCTTGCTTGTGCTGTGTGTAAGCTATTGCAACAAAATTACCCCATTGTTAATCCATTGAGTTAGCAAATATTTGTGAGATAATTGTAATGGTAATTGAACAATGTTTATATAGATACAAAAACCTTAATATTTATCATATAAAGTGATCTCTTCAGAATACATTTTTGATAGCCTAGACTTTCAATAGATGGACAAAATTAAAAAATTGAAAATATTTATATGACCTTATATGCAGCGTTTTTTCAGCGCGTTATCGAAAATGGTATCAAATACTGATTCTTTTAACTTAAAGGTATTGTATCTAAGTTTGAAATTCCAGTATTGTGACAACACACTGTCTGTGTCATTAATGTTTATGAAATGAGAAAAAGCCTGTGAAATATTTGGCAGGACCAGTTAAAAATGTTAAAGTAAAAAAAATAAATCAATTGAAGAGTTCAGATGCAAAAGCCTCTAAGTGCCATTTGAAATTTTCTTCTAGAATGATCATTTTTATCAAGCTTGTATATTTAAGTTCAGTGATTTCACTTAAATGGCAATGATAATTACCTATTAATTGTTATTTAAGTGAAATTACTGAACTTAAATATACAAGTTTGATAAAAATCGTCATTAAAGAAGAAAATTTCAAATGGCATTTAGAGGCTTTTGCATCTGAACTCTTCAATTAATTAATGGACTGAGCCAAAAAATGTGTTAAGTTCTGCATATGATTTGATGTTGAAATAGTTTATAAAATGAACATTTTATTTATTGCCAAAAACTGCAAATGTGACCTTCAAATAATACTGATTTAAGCTTCAGAAAGTAGAAAACACAAAACTGTGATCTGTGGTGAATATGATGTTGATTCAGTAACTAAGACATGTGATCTTGCTTTTATTTCACAGTACATGAAATAAAAAAGACCACTGCATTCAATTCAGACTGTAGGCTCACAGATTGGGTAAAATAGTCTGTGATTTCTTTTTTTTTTTTTTTTTTTTACATGTTGTGTATTTAGTTGGAGAACAGCAGTGGTGGTGTCTTTTATTGAACATTAATTTGTAGGAATATTCTGTGCTGTAATTCACTGCATTACAAACACACATACAAGCATGAACTCACCCTTCACTATTTTTCCATTCTCACACTTACACACAGTCCCCTGTTGGTATTGTGCCTTTATTCTGTTAGAGCGCGTATTTACTCATAAATCCAGACTGGGATAAGGAATGAGCTCTCACTGTAGTGATGTTGCCATGGTGACAACTTCCCAAATGTCACTGCCTGCGTTACTGTATCCTGGTGATCCAATAATTATTCTTTGCTTTTTGAAAGCCAGGAGTACGATTTTCTTTCTTTCAGAAAAATTCTGTACAGTGCTGCAGCATTTTCTTTTTCATTATTTTAGAGCAGCATTTATATAAAGTAATGACTTTAAAGCATGTGCTACTAAATGTACTTTTGAAATCAGTTTTTCAGAACTGCCACATATGGTGTGTGTTTCCATTTGTGGAATGTGCCATTCGTCTAGTTAGGGTGTCAGATCGTCCTCTGTCAACAACAACACAAGCCATATTCCTGTAATTACTCTGCCACTCCCTTTGTAATGAAGCTAGCATACCACTCGACTGCTTAAACACACGCAACCTAAAGGCAGATTATAAGGTATGCTTGCTTTGGCCTGTAGTCTGTATTCTCATTTTTTTGTAGGCTGACTATTGGCCGACGCTGGTCATTTGTTTGATGTGTGTGATGCTGGTCAATAGTAAGCCTATGTTCTGACGTACAACACAGAACCGCTGCGCTGGTATACTGTGTGAACTCGCATCAGATGACCACACAGAAGAAAATTAATAGTTGAATAAAGTCGTTATTTATTTATGTTTGCGCACAAAGTATTATCGCCGCTCTATAAACTTATGATTG